AGATTTTGAATCTTAAAATAATCTAACACCCATATTTTTTACAACATTTAATGCTATGTGATTTTTTAAAAAATAAAAATAAAAAAGTTACTATTAATGTATTGCAATTAATGTTGATAGTTTTTTTATGGCTACTAATTTTGGTAAATGGTTATATATATATATAGATAAATAGATTACAAACAAATATTTTGACTAAATCATTTAGTGGAAAGAGGCTATTATTAGCAATTTGAATGTTTGAACGGTATTTAAGGGAAGATGAATGTAATTCTAAATATTTGTATTTATTTATTTCATACCAGAATGAAATGGAATAACCAAATCCTAATAATATAATAAAGCGGCCAACTAGTTGCCATAAATCCTCATAAGATCTAAAAATGAGGACAACTACATGTTGCCAATTGCCGTTTTTAATAGGACCAACTTTTTATAGAAAACAAAGCATCTAATCTAATAATTTTAAAAAGCAACCTAAAAACAACTTAATATATTTCGATATTAATAGATATAAGAAAACCAAGAAAACATCATGCTTCAACTTCATCTTTGGGCCACGACCTCATTATTCGCTACACTTCCAAACTCTTGTTTCTCGCCAATCTTAGTCTTTCTCTTACTTTTAGTAGTAGCAGATCTCATTTCTTTAACGATAGTCTCCTGCAATTATTAAATAGTAATTAATTAAAATATATGAAATTATATATTGTAAGACTTTTATATAAAAAAACTACTTTAATATAACTTAACTAATACCTCATCAGTTTTAATTCATATAGCTAGCGAAACGACATCTGCTTTTTTCAATTCGTCAATTTCACTTTTAAGCACAATTTTGCTATTGGAGATATATTTCTTGTTCTTTGAATCGCATGTGGTAAACCAAAAATTTTGGTGGAGTAATAGTGAAATTTTGGAAATTATTTAAAAATTTAATACTACCTCAGCCGGAAGTCCCTAATTTCAGTAATTGTATCAATTGCAATCAACATTGTAATATTCATGAGATCTAGTGGTAAGCAGAACTTCACTTATACATTAAAAATAAAAAAATTATTAAATTATCACACAAAAGCTATTGAAAGCATGCAAATTACATATAGCAATATACATAGTTTCAAATTTACCTCCCCAAAGGTGAGCCCTAAATCGTTGCATGATTAATACCCATGGCTGACCGGGTGCAACTTCTTGATAGTGTTGCTCGAAGCCAAAATTCGTCTTCGTAATGACCCCAAAGCGTGCAAGTTATAGCAATGCCGATGTAATTAGACCATAAGTATAAAATAGCATGTGGGTTATATATATAATTTTCTTAAAAATTTTGTTGTAGTTAGACAAAACGAATAAAAAATGAATGCATAAAAGTAAAATTAAAAAATAAAATAAAAATGAATGCGTGTTGTAATTACTAATTAGAGTAGGTTATGTAATCTATACTAAATGAATGCCACGTTGTAGATGAAAAAGTAAAGGAAATTCATACATTGTAAAAAAAAATTAATAAATAAAAAAATCATACAAAACAAAAATGAATGCATGCGTGTTGTAAGAATGTGATGGGCATCAAAACTCTATTATTTATATTGACATGTGAGTTAATGATTGCTTTGATATTAAAAATAAAAACAATATAAGAGTTTTGTTTAAATTAATCTCTACATGATAAGAATTTAGATATTGTTTAACATTTAAATTCACTATCCCATAACATGCGGCACAAAATTTTCAGTAATTAAAATTGAAAATTCCAAACCATATTTTGAAAAATTCAAATGATCTAAGACTAGCTTTAACGGTGACCCCAACCTGTGGGTCACCAATTAAAAATATTAAAAAAAATAAAAAAAAAATAAAAAAAAAGTTAAGAGCGTGAAAATTGAGCGACCCAGGTCACATTGTGACCTTGGGTTGCGACCTGTATAGTGTAGGAAAATGGGACACTTGTCCTATTTTAATTGGATAAATGTATTTTTTTTATTTAAAAAAATAAAAAAGATACTAAAGTTTGTATTTTTTCATTCTCTACAAATAGAGACCACACTTGATATATTTTGGAACAAAATTATAATTTTGTAATAAATTAAATTAAAAGAAATATTGAGGTTGTGATGGACTGGGAATAAAGATTAATTAGGTTGGAAGGTTGTGTTGTGTATGTGAAGGAGAGAGAAATAATTTTTCATTATTAGGTTGGGTTGGGTTGGGTTGAGGATAAGGATGGTCTAATAACATGCGGCATATGTTGAAAATTTTCAACAAAAATTAGTTCCCTCTTTAAATAAAATTTAGGCGGGATTTCATCTTATTTTTTGCTTAGAATTATTTACGTTCTCCCTTTATATAATAATATATTTGAAAAAGCTGACTCTTGTTATTGACCTTTACAATTATATACACAATATGACATCCAAATTAATTCTCTATATAAACCAAATATATCAAAGGCAAATTAAACCCTCCCAATTAGCCAAAGGAAATCAAAACACTGGTTTTAGTCATATGGCGATTGTACAATGTTTTATTTTGTCCTTATTTAAGATTTTGTTTTATTGGTCTATTTTATTAATGTTATTTTCAAGTTCTTCCAACGGAAGTCGGGCTTCAGAAATTCAATTTCAAACCTTGGATATTACTTCTCAGCTCTCGGCTACAGTGTGCAGTCCAGTTATTCATCCTGGTATCAAATTTTCTTCATTTACAGTCATTTATTGTATACAAGTGTACAAATTTGTCGGATAACTTCAAAATTGGTCCTATAATTTGGCTCCACAGTCCAAAAAACCACCATGATATTGAACACTTTAAAAATTGGTCCTATAATTTTAAAATTTAATCAAATTTTGTCATTTTTTAATCAAATTTGGTCCTTTTTTTAATCACATTTTAATCCATGTTCCGATTAAAAAGGACCAAATTTGATTAAATTTTGATATTATATGATCAATTTTGAAAGTGGTCAATATCGGGGTGGTTTTTTGAACTGTGCCTAATTATAAGACCAATTTTGAAATTATGCCGTAACCAACACTTTACCAATAAAAAAGAGAGAGAGAGAGAGAGAGTAAATCTAAGAGTTCCAAATAAATTCATGAATGTGCAGGTTTGAAGAATAGAAAATCATCAGCAGTACTGGAACTCATCCACAGGCACGGTCCATGTGCTGTCATGAATCAAACAAAACCGATATCCCGACCCAGCACAACCCACATCCTCCGCAACGACAAATTAAGGGTCGAATCAATCTTCAATGGTGGCCGCATTCCTGTCAGCTCTGGCGATTCCCTACAAAATACTGGCGAATACATCGTGACCATGGGCCTCGGCACGCCCGAAACAAAGCTCTCCCTCCTTTTCGACACCGGCAGCGAGCTGACGTGGACTCAATGCAAACCAGGGCTTCTTGGATATCATAGTCAGAAAGACCCAATGTTCGACCCACACAAGTCCACTTCCTACTCCTTCATCCCCTGCAATAGCAGTGAATGCTCTCTCCTTGCTACCGATACCACATTTGGTCCCGATTGCTCCTCTGCAAACCAATGCACCTACGTTTTCACATACGGTGATGGATCCATAACCGTCGGCTACTTCAGCAAGGACACACTTACAATTACACCCAACGTGAAAGTCCCAAATTTCATGTTTGGCTGTGGCCAATTTACTCAGGGCCTTTTCGGACTTGAAGCTGGAATTCTGGGCCTGGGCAGAACCAACATTTCCATAGTTTCCCAAACTGCTAATATATTTCAAGAATGTTTTTCCTACTGCATCCCTTCTAACCCATCCTCCAATGGCTTCCTTGCATTCGGAAAAGATTACGATAACACCACCAAATTCACGCCTTTGATTTTAAAACAAGAATATTCCCCAGTGTTCTACTACATCCACATAACCGACATAGCCGTGGACGGACGCAAATTACGCATCAGTCCAGAGGTTTTTACGACGTCGGGCGACGCCCTCATAGACTCGGGCACCACGATCACCCATCTCCCGTCAGATTTATACAAATCATTGAGCAGCGAATTCAAATAGGTCATGCTCACTAAATACAAATATCAGATCGCACCGCCAAATTCTGATGACTTATTAGACACTTGTTTTGTTCCTAAGGAAAAAAATGTTGTCCCATCTGTTTCATTCACCTTTCAGAATGACGTGAAACTCGATTTGGATGCTTCCGGAACCGGAACACTTTGGGTTTACAACAAATCGCTAATGTGCCTTGCTTTCGCAAGCACTGACGATACTGTGGGTCTTTTGGGCAACACTCAGCAGAAGACATTCGAGGTCGTGTACGATGTTGCCGGCCAGAAATTAGGGTTTACCTCAGGCATGTGTACTTGACTGCTTTCAAAGCATTCCGAATAAAGGCCTGCAACTGCAAGTGTGTACTCACCTAGCTATTTTTCCTTTTTTTTTTTTTTTCTTTCTTTTGTTTGTGTGTACTAGTGTGTATC